TGAGGTTGTATTGCAGAGACAGTGGAATGGAGACGGCTGAAGGTGGCAGAGGGGAAGGGCTGGTTGAGGCAGACATGATGAGTTGTCAACCTGAAGAGAGTGAGAAATGGGGTTACTTGAGGACAAACAGCTTTGTTTTGCTGCTTTGTTAGTAACACAATAGTAGGCTGACTGATAAGGCATCAAGCAACAGGAAATAACATGCTGATGGAATGAGGAGCAGGTTAGCAGACTGATACAATGGACGTGCAGTACCACTCCTAAAGACACGCAACCACAAACAAACAAGGACGCCCAACTTATATCTCCACCCAAAAACTTAAGAACTGAACGGTTGGAGTGTTGACTGATTTTACAGCTGTTTCCCTTCAGGGTGTGCGTTAATGCTTGTCTGAAAATACAAACAACTCTACAATTGCACAATAGCGAGCAGCCTAATGCCGGACAATCTTGACCCCACATGCACTCAGTGGAAACACGTCATAAAGTCTGTGTGTGTGGCGACTAAGATTGGACCAGAGAGACACACAGGAAACACAAGGAAAGAGAATCAGGAAAACACAAGGAAATTGGAAAAAACCTGGAGCTACAGCCTGGAACATAACACACTGAACACTGTTATATCTTGTAAGTAAAAAAAGTTGAATGAAGATAAAGTCTGTTACAATTCCTGAAATGTTGCAATAATACAACATGTCTATTAAATAACTGTAGTATAGTCCCCCATATTGCACATTTATTGGCAGTATCTAGTACTACATGAAACTGTTATAAATATTTTACAACATGCTATGATGTCGATGTCAACAGATACAGCATGACAACATTTTACGTGTTTGTTAATGTCCAGTACTTCTCAGCCATTCTAATGTCTCCTATTAACACTGGTTTTATTCTCCACCCAGGGGTGTCCACAGGAGGAGGAACACCTGCTCATGCATTCATTGGTCAACACTTACATCTGCTTATGACTATGTAATAATGTGTAATAAACCACATACTACTGCTTAAAATGTGGAACATCATGTTGAGGGTGTTGAATGAAACACATGGTCTGACATAAATCCCAGTCCTGATGACCTATTCCTGAGTAAATACAGTTTATAGCAGACTCCTGTCCTTTTCTATCTTAACATACTTCAAATCACTCCAATGTTGTAAAGTTGAGAGTTCAATACATTTTGGAATGTGTCATCAGCCCCCTGACCTCACATGACCGAGGTAGTTGTTGATGAGCAGTTAACTGGCATGTCCAATAGAGGACCATGTTGAAAAGTGCCCATGTGTAAGACAGGAGCTTAATGTTTGATCCAGATTGTTGCAAACAACCAGTGGCACCTCTTGTCTTTGTGGCTCTCGCTTTACATTGGTTTCATCTCTGAAATACACCTTTTACGGCACTTTTACTTCCTGCTAAAATGGAATAACTTTGTACCGTATAATGTCAGACTCTACTTGAGCAGCCACATGCTTCTGGAATCCTTTTTCCACCGACCTCTCTTGTGCTCGCTGAGATATGTGCTTTTCCTTTACCTCTGTTTTTATACGTGTACCAGAGTGTCACACCTACTTCAAAGAAACCAGCAGAAACGACTTATTAAATACTACAGGGAACTATTTTAAGGATTCTCACCACAAAGCACAGTGTTTTTAATAAAAGTCGATCCTTTACTTACTTCCAGACGTAAATCTGAATAAAACATCTTTGTCTCCTTCACAGTTTGTAGAAACTGACTCAGTGGACACTTTGCATCCTTTTAGTGAAGCAGACAGTAGTGATGAGTACAGAAAATCAGAATCAGAAATACTTTTTGATCCCTGAGGGGGAACTGCTTACATTACAGTTGCTTCATTCAACGTCTTAGAAAGTTAGGCAGTACAAAAAATTGCAAGATAATCATAAGTGGAAAACATGCCCTAAAAATATAAAGAT